TAAACCAATAGATCCAAATTTTTCTGCAATGAATGAAAATTTCTGGAATGCTTGAATGCAAAAACAGTCAATTTCTTTAAGGTAACAACACACAATTAAATACCTTTTTTTCTCTTTCTTACATGATTAATTTCTTCAATGATTTCTTTTTTCTGCTTTTCTAGTAGAAACATTTTTCCTTTTATTTTCATCCAAATATTGAGCATATATCAAGAATGAGCTCACTTGCAACTTTTTGTTAATTCATTAGTGATTGTGAAGTTGTGAACACCCTGCTTTGTTGCGTTTACATGGCTCTAAATAGTGCTCTGACTAATCAAGATTTTGCATGCTCTCGATAAAAAGCTCTTTGTCAACACCAAAACCTTGCTCAACAGCACAGTGATTATGAGATAAAGTAAAAACTAGGATTTAGACTTTTCTTAAATCAAAATACTTGTTCCCATTCAAATAAGAAATTAAAAACTTGTTAAATTAGTTTAGCTTTTTCATATTTAATGTTACAACAGATTTTGTCTTCAAACTGATCTATGGCATAATCAGCTGTTTGCATGGATTTCAACTTGGATCTATAGAACTTATCAACCAGCTGGCCAAAATGAGCTAATTTAAATTCTTTTTAGGTAAACATAATTTGGAGATAGAAATGCTGCATTTCGCACTACCATGTACTTCAAAAGACTTTTTTCTTGCATTTTTTCAATAATTTTGACCAGCATAGTTATACAATCTTCTTTAAATTTGTTGCAGTACTTTTTATAACATTGTTGCAAAAAATATTTTCATAAATTAATTATTTTCATTTTTGCAAATTTATTCCTAGTCATATTCCTACTCAGTTTTATGATTTGTTACAATTTTTAGATGATTTTTTTATAAAATCATCAAAACCATCAGTTTTAGACACGGCTGTTTTTGGCGAGCTTTACGGCTTCTTGTTATTTTATGAAAATATTTACGTAAGGTGCGTTACTAAAACTTTTATAACTTTTGAAACATTAAAGATAATTTTGTTCTGTAAAAAGAATAAAATCACCAATAAAATGTTTTATTTGATGACGTTTCACAGACATATTAAAAAACTTCTTTAATTTTAGAATAAACGCAATTATTGACAAATAAAAGTATGCGATAGATATCAGAGGATTAAACAACTTATCTGATGTTTGTAAATTAGCCACGAGAGAAAAAAAACCGCTAAAGTTTTTTTATTTATACACTAAAATTTGTCTCGCTAAAAAAGCTGTTTTAATAAATTTAATTACATAGTGAATTGGGAAGTAACGCATTTAAAATTATGTCATTGCTTTAAAACATAAACAAAAATTTTACGCATGTGACTACCAATTTTTGCTAAAAGCAACAAAATTTGCCAAGGTTGAAGACGTTTTAGTTAGAAATACAGAAAGTAATTTTTTTGATTTTCATGTGCATAGAGGGTTGAAATTTCAATAATTTGAAGGGCATAACAAAAATTGAACGTTTTTCATATAAAACAAGTAAAAACAAAAATAATAATGCTAAAAAAACTTGAACTATTTTTTTTATCTATGCCCTCCAAAAATCTGATAAAGTAGACATTTGTTTATAAGTATGTAAAACTTCAATCATCAAGCATGTAGCTTAAAATACCAAATCTTGATTGGCCCAAGACAGGTTTTCCGTAATATACTTAAAAAATAGAAAAGTGATCCAAAATCATTTAAAATATTTTAACAATGTTTATTTTTATTTCGCTTCATGTAAATATTTATTTAACAAAGAAAGATAGTTCTTTTATATTTTTTTAATTCCAAGATTAAAGCGTTTATAGAAAAAAAATACTATTAATTTAAAGTTAGTGAATTTTTATACTTTTTATGCGGAAATTCTTTTTTTTTTTTTAAACACAAAAATTCTTGTGACGTCAAGCTCGCTTTTATATTGAGTGAAACAGCCGTGTTGAGAAAAAAACTATTCTTCAAAATATTTATTAATGAAAATAAATAAACTAACTTTCTATAATTAAAAAATCTCTTAATACAAACTTTTATTTTCACCAGTAAAATTCGAATTAGAGAAGTTGTACTTAAAAATAATACTATATGATTTCTTCATATTTTACTATCGTTTTAATACTTGTGCTATATTTAAAATATTTAAATACATTTTACGGCAATAAACCTGAAATATAAAATAATACCACCAAATATTCTTTCAAATGCGGTGCAATACCCCTAAAGAATTCCTTTTATTTATGAGAAGCTTGTCCTTATAATGACTTACCAGTACATCTTATGATCTTAAATTTGAGCCTTTTACTTTTGCTAAGTTTAAATGGTTATTACTCTTTTTTTTTAAGCAATTAATAACACTCGGATGCCTATCATGGTGTTAACCAGTTTTATACAAACTAATATCAATATATCAAAAATGATATTTTTCCTGGTATCTTTATTATGAGGCTACCACTAGGAAGATCATCATCCATAATTTAAGAGTTCCTCCTATTTTTACCCAAAAATCAACTAGGAAATTTTTATTAAAGTTTTTGTAAGTGCCTTAAGTTTAACTTCTTAACTGAAGCAGGATGTACTGAATTAAATATATCCAGTAGCAGGGTGATTGACCAGAGTATCATTGATTGATTGATACAATCTCAAATAAAACGTATAAATGTATTTTGATTATTTATTTAACTGATATAATTTTTTTTGAATTAAACTAAAATTTTAACTTTTAGTAGGGAGTGTAATTAACAATATCATTAAGTGTTTGCTTCAAATTTGCCCAGGTTGCCTTTGACGGACGGATTGCCGAACATTTCATTTTTTAAAAGATGATTTCATTTTAGTTTTTCTAAACCATCGATTTTATCTTAAGTTTGAAAAAGATAAGTAATGTTTTAAAATATAAATAATTGTTATTATTTTTTAAAAAATTATCAGATTTGTTATATATATATATATATATATATATATATATATATATATATATATATATATATATATATATATATATATAGGATAAAAATTCCTTAAGCCGCATGAGACATTACAGCTGGACCTGGTGAAAAAATTAAGGAAATTATTTTTTTCCAGGAACTCGCGGTAGTGGTGTAGTGGTAAAACGCTAGGAAATGTGGTAGTGGTGTGGTGGTAAAATGCTCATTTTATAAGCGAGAGGTTCCGAGTTTGATCCCCACCACGTCCCTGGTAGTATACACGCTCAACTTGTTTCTCCGCGCAACTGTCTTGTTCGTCAAGGTTCGTGTTTCGGAGTTAAGAGAGGGTAATAAACACTATTAAGAAGTCTCCTCATCTGTAGTGACCCTCTCGATCTTGAGGTGGAAAAAAAAATTTTTTTTTCTTTGTCTCATGATTTGCAACCTAATTTGATTTTTGTTCTGGTATTGGTGGCAGTTGGGAAGGTTCAAGATATTTAGCACCAACTGAATAGTTATCAATTACTATATCTGACCAGCCTTCAGCTAGAGTTTCCACAAGTTAATCAATTTTTTTTTTCTAAATTAACGACAATTGTCTTTCCATATGCTTTTACTCAGCAGAACCATACACCATTCAACCCTGTTATATGCTAAATAATGAGGTGCACAAGTTCCTGTTATACAGAGATCTAAATCCCATCTTATAAATCTTGCAATTGCAACTTGCAATGGTTTGGAAAACTTTAGATTTTTATCAGGGCCTTCATCACACGCAACAAGAAATATAGGTTTTACCTGATCTTCTGAAGTACAAATGTGAAGCCAAAATTTTTTATTTAAAGCAAGAGGCTCCAAATCATGGCCATAGATAAAAGCAGTGTTGTCTATCATATTTCATAGATATAATAGCAATATATGTTGGTCTAAAATATGACACTGCATCAGCAAATTTTTCTGGTTCATTAATACAAGCAGCATAAACTAACAGTTTAAGCTTATATCTGAAAGCCACTAAAAAACCATATCCGAGCTAACGTATTAGCAGCTGCATCAAAATTGGTGATTATTTTGTCGCAGCTGCTAATCCTAACGGTAGTTTACATTGATCATCTAGACTTAAATAAAAGCATGTCTATAGACTGAACATTGAACAGATCACCCATGTATCGCATGCACGTAAATGTAAATCCAGATTCTATATCCCTATCACAAGCTATATCGGTAGTCCTGATCAATTTCACAACAACTGTCTTAATGTGACATTTTCCTTTAAGTGTGCTTGATCGCTTAGACAGCAGTCTTAAATAAGTTGCAGAATGTGATAGACAATAACCCAGTTTTAGAAAGCTTTCTGCTTATTTATCAAATTCTTATATGAGTGTAACTCCTGCAATCTTCTACGACTGCTAAAAATGGCTCCTATTGGTACAATATTAACTATGGCATCAAAAAGATCTGGCTGAAAAACAAGTACAGCTGGTCTACCTTTTCTTTTCTTTCTTGAATTTAGAAAACTTTGATTTTAAAGAGGAGTGTCATTAACAATATCATTAAGTGTTCATTTTAAATTTGCCCAGCGTTGCCTTTGGCAGATGCGAACATTTCATTTATTTAAAGATGGGTTCATTTTAGTTTTATTTGCTTTTCTAAACGTATTGATTTTATCTTAACTTTGAAAAAGATAATTAATGTTTCAAAATATAAAGAATATAAATTATAAATATTATTATTTTTACTCATGTCTGGCATACTTTATGGATGATCCATAATCAAAAAAGAATTTCTTAAACAAGTTTTTTTTTTCTAAATTATTACTTTCAAACTCATTAAAAAAAGGTTACAAGAAGGAGGGGGAAATGATAACTTGTTTTAACTCTATTTATACAAAAATTTAAACACTTAAAATAAAACAAAAAAACAAACAATAAAAACTAAAGTTATATTATATTAACACCTAAACTTTTAGGTAATTTCTTTCCAAAACAAATTTTTATAATTGAGTAAATTCTTTTATAATATACTCATGAAATACATGAAATGTTTACAATTAAGAAAAAAAAGTCTAGAAGCTTACTTGAAGTGTATTCAAACAAGATCGGATATCATTTTCTGCTCGCTCACATAGTAACAATATAGATGTCATATCAATGTGAAGACCCTCCACACGTGATATCTTAAAATAAATTAGAGATACTCTTAAATATTTTATGAGATAAATTTTTTTTTTAACAAAAAACAACCATCTTAATAAAAACAAAAAAAATTATTTATTAGAGCTTATGTTAATAAACAAGTATTTAAAAAAAATTAAACTTTATTAAAAGCAAATCTAATGAGACTAATGTCTCATTAGATTTGCTCATACTTATCAACCAATTAACAACCAAGCTCAATAAAACAGTAGTATTTGTCTAATAAGTACTATTCATCTAATAATTTGCTTTACTTCAGTTGATCAATGTAGATCACTAAAAATATCTATTTTAATTAATAATACATCATATGCTAAAACAAATATTTAATATTTACTCTGCTAATTTTCTTGCATCCAAGTTTTCAGTTTTTGTGGAGGTGTTTTTTAAAAGTCTTTATTGTTTTTATGAAAAAAAAAATCTTACATTCAATAATCTGTTTGCCAACCTTGCAGGTACAGTCATTGGGAACGAAAGTGTCAGAGCAGCCTTTCTCAACTCACGCAATGCTGGTACATATCTAATAAAAATACAACTTATTTAAAAAAATCTATCAATATCTATTACATAAAAATAATAACTTTAAAGTTAAATTTATACTGTTAATTTAGAAGGGGACTGGGGCTAGTTGCCTCCTTTTAACTCTTTGAGCTCTGTAGCCCAAAAGGCAAAACTTTTTGTAAATTTTAAAGAACTATCTTAAAGAGTATGAATTTAGGTAACATTTTAAACTTGCATTCATTATATAAAATATATTCTTGAGGCTATTCTGGGACTTCAAAAAAAAAGTTACTTACCCTTCAGCAGGGCAAGTTACGGCAAACTATAAAAATGTATATTAATGTTTTATGAAGTGCAAAATTTATAGAAATTTTTTTACTATTTGTTTTGGCAACAATTTTAAGCCAAAAATTTAATATTACTTTTAGCTGGTACCAAATACAGGTTACCATTTATCAAATACAGGTTACCATTCATCAAATACAGGTTACCATTCATCAAATACAGGTTACCATTCATCAAATACAGGTTACCATTCATCAAATACAGGTTACCATTCATCAAATACAGGTTACCATTCATCAAATACAGGTTACCATTCATCAAATACAGGTTACCATTCATCAAATACAGGTTACCATTCATCAAATACAGGTTACCATTCATCAAATACAGGTTACCATTCATCAGTATAAGAATATCAAAAATATTGTGATATTAGCATTAAACATGTGTTAAAATTCCCCACAGCAAACTCGTGTCACAAAAGACCCTAAGCTGTCACAGAAGATTACATTTAAGATTAGCTATAAATATTTATTAGATTAGTGTAAAATATAATTTATAAAACAAAAATATCAAAACCCTAAAATATTTGTCCTTTAAAAAAAAATTTGTATGGGGAGACAAACTGTTTAATGTTACCCTATATATTTTTTCTATTTAATAAAGCAAAAGAAAAATTCACTTATATATTTGGTAAGTAGAAGAATTTAAAAAATAACACTTTTTTTATTGCGCAATGAATTTGTCAATTAACCTGGTTATTTGACATATTTATATCGTGAGATAAAGTTTAAAATGTCTTTAAAAAAAAAAGTTAAACCAATTTCTCTTTGAGAAAAGAAAACATGATAACTTAAATAATTTGCAATAAAAAATCTCTAAACATAAAAGGATTTATTAAATTGAATTTACATTTGTAATTTACTACAAAGGAATGGATTTCATACATTTGCAATTGCATTTAAGTATCACTATATAGCAAAAATACTGTACAAATAATACAGATTTTTTTTTAACAGACCAAATTTCAGATCAAACTTCTGAAAATTCTAACCATTGTTATAGATAGACAAATATATTTTCTGAAAAAGTAATTTTACAAAAACTTGTGACCTGTGACAAAATGCTATCAGCAATCCTGTACAGAACCATAAGTCATTTATGTACATTGTACATTTATAGAAACTTATATTAAATACATTTTGAAAATATTATTTTCAAACTCCAAGACACCTTTTCATTTTTTTAAAATCAAAGTCTTTTTAATATACGGTGCAATCTGCAGACTTGATAATTTATTTCATGCATGTTTAGTTCATAACACTTTCAGTATATGCCATCATTGTGAAATATTCTTTTCAAGGTGTAGTATTTTTTCTGTCAAAATAGCAAACTATGTTTATATAACTAAATGCTTGTATAACTAAACTTCAAAAAATATTTATGACACAATAAAAAAATCAAACATTATGTTTGGCTCATCAATTGTCAGGATTATTTTTAAATGATTGTATCTTTTATAAAAGATATTTTATAAAAAATAAAGGAAAAGATTTAATAAAATATATTTTATAAAAATATATAAACAGAACCAATGACATTGGCCTTGAAGTGTAGTGGTGGTCGAGGTTAAAATATTATATCTTTTATAAAAGATTATTTATAAAAAATAAATTAGATATTTAGATTTATAGAATATGGTTTTTAAGTATTGTGTCATTGGATGCAGAGATAACTACGATGTTACAAAGCCTGCAAAAGTTTTTTGCCCTCCAAATAAATAAAAAAATTGGATCAACGAAAATAATGGATAAATGCTATGCCTGGAGATAATATTCCAATTAGCCCAAATACTTTTATTTGTTAAGATCAAAGACCAAAGGCCTAAAGACTATGAAAAAGTTTCAGTTTACGGAAAGTCAAGACCAAAACATCCACCACCTGTATTTTTTTGTGTAAATCTAAGTCAAATTCAGTTTGTCACTATAGTAGGTCATGAGGAGGAGGGATGGCACAACCATCAATTTCTAAACAAAACCCTGCATATCTTGAAATGTGGGTGGATGGTGAAATGGGGTAGGTGGGTGGTGAAATAGAGGGGGGGGGATGAAATGTCAAATTTTAAGTACAGTGCAAATTTCAAATTTAATGACAGTGTATCGAGAGATTAAAAATAAACTTTCTAAATTTTTAAAATTAACTTTAATGAAACATTAGAAAAAAAAATCCATTTGTTTTGTTTTATGCAAACATCACCTAGCAACAAAAACATGATCTAGGTCAACAGTAAAAGAAAGCACTTTTTATTTACTACACTCCTTTTATCAATTTTACTCTAAAACATCCATTTTATTCATTTTACTTAACACCCATTTTAGTGATTTTTCCTTACGTACAGTTTTTATTTAAAACACCCTCTCACGTCTAATAGTCCCCATTAAAACAACATTTAATCCATTTTCCTCGTCACCCAAGATCCTTATCCAAAATCATCCGAGATCTTCTAAAATATTTTTGTTATTACTTTGAAACTTGAAAATGAATCAAGACAAGTAAGAATCAAGTTGAACATTATACATTTAGGGGGAAGGTGGGTCTGATCTTAAAGAGATTCCAAAGTGCCAAGACAAGTTGTGTTCATATTAAAGAAAATATTATAAAGCATATAAATTAATTTAAATCATAAACTGAACTAAGTAGAAAATAAAACATATAAATTGAAATAGGTAGAAAATAAATTTTAAACAAATTATTTTACTAATAACTATACAAATCAAACTAAATTAAGTTTAAAACAAATATTTGTACTAAAATATACAAAAGTGAGTTATAATATATATATAAAAACGAAGACTCGCATTTTTTTGCTACCAGCCAAACAAAAATCTTTTTGTAGCAACCGCACATTTTTTTGAATAAAATTTGAATGGTATAACATTAACAATTAATTCAAATTCGAACAGTAAATCTCTTTAAAAGCATAACAAACTATATATCAATAGAAAGCTAAATAAACGTACTTTTTAATTAAATAAGTTTTTAACACGCATCATTGAACAATAAGAAATGCAAAGTTCTTAAAACCATTGTTTTTATACAAGTTAAATACTTTACAATTCTACAAGTGTTAATGTTGTTAACACTTTTACAGTGTTAACGCTGTTTTATTTTATAGCTAAATTTAAAGTAGTTTTTTTTAAGAAGGACTATTCAAGGTTTTTTAACTTTTTCAAGTGATAACTTTTTATAATTACACAATGTAGCTCTTACTTTTTCTTGATAATGTAAAGAATTAAACATTTAGAACAAACAAATTTTATGTGTCTAGAATAGAAATTTATGTACAAAACAAGATAAATTATAAAGCATACTCGAAAGCCGCTACCAGCGGCTAGCAGTAGTGAAAGAGTTAAACCATATAAACTAAATGAAACTTGGAAACTAAATGGAAAATGGAAAAGAGTTAAACCATATAAACTAAATGGAAAAATTAAACTTAAAAAAACAACTCTAATAAACCATATGAATTAAATATGAAACAAGAAACTGGATCATACTGCCTTTATTTTTTCTCTACTGCAAACTCTAATAATCACAAAATATTTATAATTGTGTCATTATTTTGGCTGGCTTCTAAAACAAAGTAATAATCAAGCAAGTAAAGAAAAATAATTATAAATATAAAAAAATATATATATTTGTATAATTTTTTACTAAATCACAAAGATTTTTTGTGATTTAGTAAAAAATTATACAAATATTTGATTTTCTGATTGTAATAGAAAAAATACTTATATTTTTAAAAAAACAACAACAAAAATCTTAAAATACGATGTCTTCATATACTGAAACTGTTATGAATTAAACATGCATGCAATAAATTATCAAGTCGGCTAACATTATACAGACTCCAAGAACCAACCAAAAATGGAGATGGGCGAGCTTCAACTAAAACGTGAGTTTTAGTTAAAGCTTGCCCGTACTTTAAAATCAATGGTGAATTTTAAAATTAATGGTGCATTCATTTGCGAATTTTAAAATTAATGGTGCTTCATTATTTGATTTTAATCAAAAAAACTTAGCCCAAACGTTTTTTTTAAACATTTTCTTTATTATGAACACAATTTGTCTGGGTGCTTGGGGATCCCTTTGAGATTTTATCATATGGTAACTTTTCAGCCACCTCACTAATACTAAACCACCTCCCCACCTCACTAACACTAAACTACCCCCTCAATTATACTAAACTACCACCTCACTAATACTCAACCACAATGTCATCTCACTAGTACTAAACCACAGCACTATCACAGCAACTAATAATAAATATATTTCTAACTTGTTTATAATTAAAACACTATTTAACTAATAATAAATATATTTCTAACTTTAACTTAATTATCATTTAAAGTAAACAAAGCAAAATCTAAATAATTAACAAGCTAAACAATTAAAAATAATAATAAAATTAAACTTTCTCAAAGTGATTATGGTTAATCATTAAATATGTGTATAACTGACTAAGCATACATTGTGTATATATGACTAAACCTGATTGATACTTATATATTTTTTTCAAACATAATCCATATCTTATTTTGCAAAAAAATGAGTTTTTAAATGTAACAAAAATAACTTTTTAACTTACTGATTATTACATATGCATATTATTGGTCGATTTAATATCAACTGCTTTTTTTGTTTTTTCTTCCCTTTTTGCTTTACATTACCTAAAAAAAAAGTTCATAGTGCACATAGTTGAGACTATTTGCATCAACAATTATACAACTCATGAGTAGTTAGGCTTGTCTTACTGTACAATGTTCAACACAAACCTAAATTTTTTAAAACAAAATGTTCATCAAAATAAGTGAAACTCAACAAAACTTAAGAAATAGGGGCAAACAGAGAAGACTTTAGAAGAAATAATCTCTTATTAAAATTACAAATTTGTTACCAATTGTGAATAATAATTTGTTGAGCACAACTGCAATAAATATGTGAAAATAAAAAAAATAAGAAAAAAAAAAAATTACTGCATAAAATGTTTTTTACTTTTTGTTAGAAAAATAAAAAGGGTTTTAATTCGTGGTTAAATACACGTTTTTTTGTTGTCATTTTAACTTTATGAAGTTTTCAAATTTGTATTTGCATAAACTTTATTTGAATAAATTTAACAATATTAATTAGGGACAGCAACACCAGTATCCCAAAATTCAAAAAACTGAAAACTGGTAATCTAAAATATGTAAAATAATAATACAAAAGCATAGTAGACTAAAGCAATTATTCTAAACTTAATAAAACAAAGTAGACAAAAAGTCATTATTCTAAACTTATTAAAGTGAAACTAAATTAAAATTAAATTGAAAAACTTATTTAAAAAACAATGTTTTATAAAATGTCAAATACATAAAGCCAAATAAAAATGACACATTAAAATCTAATCACTAATTAAAACATCAGTTAATGATTTTTTTCAATAATTTTTAAATTATTATAAAATACATAAAATACACAATAATCTTATAAGCGAGCTGTAGGATTTGCTGACAGCTTACTAATAATATCAGCTAATTATTTTTTTGTAATAATTCAATAATTTTATTATATCATTGAGTATTTATACTCCTTTTTTCTGAGAATAAAATACTATTTAAAAAAAAAGAAATTTAAAATTACATTTGTAAAAACCTAAAACGCAAACCACTTTATAGCAAAAGTTATTACTATTATTATTTTGTTTTAAGCGTAAATATGTATTGGGCCTAACTACCGTACAACTCTTAGTCTGTCTAAAATTGGCAACAAGTACAACAAACTGGTAACAAAAGAGATAAATTTAACTAACATACCAAAAGTTTGTCTTATTTAAAATCTTTGGGGAATTCTTAAACAAAAAGTGCAAATGGATGGCAAACTAAAAACAATCCAGAATCAGGAATTGCCAAAGAAAATTGAATGTCAAGTTTGTGCAAATATAACTAATTTATAATAAGCAAATGCTTTTAGTTTTAAAATTTTTTAATCAAATATTTTTTTTAATTTTAATTTATATTAAAAAAAAAAAAAAAAAAAAAAAACAGTTTTCTAATTTATATTTGACATTAATAAAACATGTTATTAAATGTGAATTTTATTTGACATGGTTGAAACATGCTACTAAATATGCAATTAAAAAAAAAAATTAAATTTACTTTCTCAAAGCTCCAAAAAGAACAAAGGTCACTTTGGACATCACATAGAAACAAGTTGATTCAATGAGCAAATAATATTTATATTGAAAAAATTATATATTATTAAGTTGTTTTTGTTTGCATTTTTAAGAAGAGTTTTTAATTTAATAAAGACTGATTTGACTTAATTTGATTATTGTATCATGTGGTTTACATTACTGCATATCATTACTTACTTTAAAACAATATTTCTAAACAATGTCAATAATTTCTTAATAAAAACTTTTTTTGTCCATGATTTGTTTAAACATTTTTATTTCATTTAAATGCAAAAATTTTGCTTTAAACAAAATGTAAAGAATAGATTTTGGTCAGGTTTGATGTTAATAAAAATTCATGTTGATTGTTAATAATAAATAT